AGTTTCTAGTGACTTGATAAGAAGTAATGAAATAGCATGCGAAAGGATATGGGCCGCTCGCTTGTACAGTAATGGTGGGACATTAGACAGATTCCCCGAGTTGTTTTTAAGTGACTTTATAATCTCGGTGGCTTCCGAGGGCTCAGTTGGTGCAAGATAGAAGGAATTTGGGAAATTCCCATCTAGGTAGTCCCTGGCATGGGCATTAGTATGTGGGATTTTATTGGCGAGATTAGATCCTATGGTTGAGAAGAAGTCGTTTATCTTGTTAGCTGTGTCAGTGGGATGTAGTGATGTTTCATTAGGTTTAGTAAGGACAATATTCTTGTTTTTTTTCAGTTTGTGGGTCCCTAGAATCTGAGAGAGTGTTTTCCAGGTCTTTTTTATATCTCCTCTAGTGTCTGTGAATCTACTGGAGTAGTATAGTTGTTTGGCTTTCTTTATTACTTTGGTGAGAACTGATGAATAGTGTTTAAGATATCTTTGTGTATTAAGCCCTGTCTATATTGCTTTTCATATTGGTGTTTCTTGTCAATGGATTTCAGAATGGTGCTGGTTAGCCATGGGCAACCAAGCCGTTTGTTTGTGATCTGTTTCGTTTTTATAGGACAATGTTTGTTGTATAGTCTAAGTAATTTGTTAAGAAAAATGTCTGTCCCCGTCATCAATACCATTGGCCTTGGAGAATTCTGTAGGCCATCAACAATCTCTAGGTCAGTTGTGAACTTCCTTATGAGGCCTCGTCATGGAGTCTAAATGAGACTTTGTTGTATTCAAGTAGTGGTTTATTAATGTTTGTCAGGAGGAAGGTAGGGTAATGGTCTGTAGTGCTATCTGTGATTATCCCTGATTTAAGGGGGGCTAGTATATTGGTCCATATGTGGTCTATTATGGTTGCACTTGTCTCAGTGAGCCTGGTTGGTTTAGTTATTGTTGGTATGAGAAGTGTGTTGTTCATATTGTTGATGAAATCAGTTACAGGCTGATCATCTAGTAAGCCAAGGTTGATGTTGAAGTCTCCAGCTAAGAGAAGGTGGTGCGTATTCATTTGTCTGTTTGTTATTAGTGACTTTAATTTCTCACTGAAATTTGGGATGTTTGTGTGAGGTATCCGGTAAATGGCACCGATTGTTATAGGTGTCTTAAGGTTTTTTACAGTAAAATTAGCAAAAATGTATTCCCCATATTCATCACTAAAGCAAGTGGTGCTGATACATTATGGTCTGATTTCTTTCATTTTTGGTGTACGTGAAGAAGTATCTTTCCATCATACATTGCCCAAGTTTGAATAAGATAACCCAACAAACAACTGAGAAAATAATATAATAATAATAATAATATCTTTATTTACTACACGTACATGTACAAGGTATACATCAGTGACATACTACTGTATAGAAAGCCGCTTGTTATGCAGAGTATTTCAAGAAAATTAGGTCAGTGTCCCAGGATAACACCCACACTAGTCGGCTAACACCCAGGTACCCATTTACTGATGGGTAAACATAGACAACAGGTGTAAAGAAACACGCCTACTGTTTCTACCCTGGCTAGGAATTGAACATTTACCAAAAATCATATATGGCTAACCCAAGCCAGGTACTTAAAATAAGCCACATTGACTTTTTTTGGGTTATCCTAGGTTCTCTACACATATGCTGCTGTGTGTGATAATCTATAGAGAGAAAATAACTTTTTTGTTTCAGGCTTATGGTGCAGTACGAGTGTATATGACAGTTAGCCCTGTACTATACTCCATTTTCTCTAATATAAGCCCCCAAGACAGGGATAGGAGAATGGTATTTGTATACCATATCCTCTTCATACCTCCGTCAAACTGCTCGGTGTTATGCCAAATATTATTCATTCTGGAGCATTTAACATGTTTTATGTTATTTATATTGTTTCTTATGTCATATTAGATCAATTGTGATAGGCAAATAAGCTGTAGTGTTGATATTAGCATAATAATAAAGCATATTCTCCTGCTTCATGAGACTGAGCTCATGGCAACGACAGTGGCTTCAAAGCCATCTTATATTTAATGGATAATGTACTGTGTAGGTGCTTACATAATGAGAAGCATTTCTTTTATTCATTGGAACCATGGCTAGGGCTAAAAGTAAGCAGGTTAAAACAATAAATGGATAAAAAGAAATTGGAATGACTTATGCAGCAAGTAGCACCACCAAACAGTACCAGCAGGTTGGTGTGGCAACCCTGGAAATTTAAAATCATGCTAGCCAAAATTAGTGCCGAATAACTGATTGCCGGATTTGTGATGGCGGACCTGTATAAATTTCTAGACAATAGTATGTAACTAAGGTAGGTGAAAATGTTCACCTGTCAGTGTGTTTCTGACTATAAAAATGACCTCTTTATTTAAATATGCGGAGCGCTGGGCATGAGAACGTAGATCTACGTTTGGACAGTTAAAGGATTAAGCTTGCCTGAAATGCTCTGCATAACTAAGGGGCTTCCCATGCGAGAGATACAATGTCATCCACTGTTGTAAAAACTGTGAACTGTCTTCACCCTGTCTGTGCTTGATAATCCAAATTCTGAAGTTTCAAACTTACTGTGCTTTAGTTTGACTTCATTGCTAGTGTTTCTTAGTAGTGTGTTTGACTTAGTTTAGAGCTCTATATAGTTTTTTATTGAAATAGGGATATTAGTGTCCATGTGATAACTTGTGAATTTAAATAATTCACTTCAAATCTTAAACACTGATACTTAACTGTATCATGAACTTAGGTCATGCTCTACATGAATCTTTTTGTATGTTGACGTAGAGGTGCCTAGGGTGATGCAATACTGGGATACCTTTCTCGGATTGTGCAGTGACCAAAATACATAGTTACATTTTAGGTTATAAAAACAATTGTACTGTAGTGTATATGAAAGATATGTATTTTAAGAAATATATAATCCATTGTTCCTTATTGAAGAATTTTCCTGAGGGACAATATAATACATGTTTGTACCTACTGAATAATCTTTTGAGCTCTGCACCTAACAAAATTAAACATTTAGCATACACGTTTTAACAAAAATGTTCTAATGGATCTATTTTTGATACAACACTTGCATACTGTATTTTGTATTATATTTTCAAAGCCCAGTACAGTGGTCCCTCAATAATCATCCGGCCTGAAAGTCGTCCATTTCGGAAATAGTCCCATTATTTCGTCTCGCAAATGGTCCGTTAACTCGCTAATCGTCCTTCGTCCGGGATGCGTACTTATGCTCTGAGCCACCTGGGCCTGCCTTCCCAGCCAGTGTGCCATTGTTTACCAGTGAACGACGGTCCCCTCACTTGCTCCTACAAAATATTTCATAATATTCCATTCATTTTAGTGCTTGCAAGTGCTAAATAAGCTACCATGGCTCCAAAGAAAGCTCCTAGTGCCAAGCCTTTGGTAAAGAAGGTGAGAAATACGATTGAATTTAAGAAAAACATTACTGAACAATATGAAAGTGGCGTACAACCATATCTTCCATCATAGCCAAGAAAAAGGAAATCAAGGATGCTGTTGTTGCAAAGGGGGTAAATATGCTGACAAAAATGAGATCACCAGTACTCGAAGATGTTGAGAAGTTATTATTGGTGTGGATAAATGAGAAACAATTAGCAGGAGATAGTATTATGACGTCACTTATTTGTGAAAAGGCTAGGCAGTTCCATGACAATTTGGTAAAGAAACTGCCTGCAACTAGTGATGTGAGTGAATTTAAGGCCAGCAAAGGCTGGTTTGAGAGATTTAAGAAGCTTACTGGCATACACAGTGTGGTAAGGCATGGGGAGGCTGCCAGTTCTGACAACAAAGCGGCTGAAAAATATGCGCATGAATTCAAGGAGTACATAGAGGCTGAAGGATTGAAACCTGAACAAGTGTTCAATTGTGACAAAACAGGCCTCTTTTGGAAGAAAATGCCAAAGAGGACCTACATTACTCAGGAAGAAAAGGCACTGCCAGGACACAAGCCTATGAAAGACAGGCTGATGCTCATGTTCTGTGCTAATGCTAGTGGGGATTTCAAAGTGAAGCCGTTACTAGTGTACCATTCTGAAAATCCCAGTGTGTTCAAGAAAAACAATGTTATAAAGAGTAAATTGTGTGTGTTTTGGAGATCTAATAATAAGGCATGGGTCACAAGGGACATTTTCGTCAAGTGGTTCAATGAAGTGTTTGGCCCTAGTGTGAAGAATTACCTCCTGGAAAAGAAATTGGATCTCAAGTGCCAAGTGGACAATGCACCTGCTCATCCTCCAAACTTGGATGACCTAATTCTGAAGGAGTTTGGGTTCATCACAGTAAAGTTCTTGCCCCTGAATACCACTCCTCTTCTCCAGCCCATGGACCAGCAAGTCATTTCAAACTTTAAAAAACTCTACACCAAAGCAATGTTTGAAAGGTGCTTTAATGTGACCTCAGACACTCACCTGACCTTAAGAGATTTTTGGAAAGAACACTTCAGTATTCTCCATTGCATAAGCCTTATAGGTAAGGCTTGAGAGGGAGTGACTACCAGGACTTTGAACTCTACTTGGAGAAAATTGTGGCCAGATTGTGTCCACAAGAGGGATTTTGAAGGGTTTGAGGCAGCCCCTGATGAGCCTATGTCAGTTGTGAACTCTATTGTCGCACTGGGGAGTTCCATGGGGTTGGATGCGAGTATGGAGGATGTGGAGGACCACAACGAAGAGCTAACCACTGAGGAGCTGCAAGAGCTTCAGCAGGAACAGCAACAGATTGCAGCTCAGAATCTTGCTGTAGAGGAGGAGGAAGAGAGATGGAAGAAGGTGCCTTCTTCAGAAATTAAGGAGATTTTTGAAATGTGGGGTAGGATGGAAAGATTTATGGAGAAACATCACCCTGAGAAGGATATTGCAAGCCATATTGGCAACTTGTACAGTTACAGAGTCTTGGCCTATTTTCGGGAAGTTTTAAAGAGACGCCAGAAACAGAGCTCTCTGGACAGTTTTTTTGCAAGACAGGACTCCAGTGAATCTCAAGCTGGTCCTAGTGGCATTAAGAAACAGAGAAGAGAAGTAACCCCAGAAAAGCAATTGGTACCTGAGGTGTTGATGGAAGGGGATTTCCCTTCCAAACAGTAAATAATCCAATCTGTCTCCTCCAGTCTTCCATACACTAAGAAGAATCGCCAATAAAGGTGTTACGTATTCTGTTAATGTTTCATTCATCATGTGACATTGTATTGTTTATGTACTACATCTATATTTCATGTAAAATTTTTTTTTTTGTTTTAATACTTCTGGGTGTGAGGAACAGATTAATTGCATTTACATTATTTCTTATGGGGAAAATTGATTCGAAAATCGTCTATTTCGATAATAGTCCCACTTCCAGGAACGGATTATGGACGATTATTGAGGGACCACTGTACTATATTATAATTTGTGGCTAAACTCTTACTGCCCTCACATAGTCTTTTATAATTTTTCAATACAGTAAGGCCCTCTTTACAGCATTCTGCTAATACAGATATTTCAAATATTGACCAAAACTAACTCTCTATACGGCTCTTCCCACCTGACTTTCTAATACAGTCACCATGGGCCACCTGGTTTGTTTACATTCTCTGTGAGCGCGACTCCATTATGTCTGGAAACTTTCCAAAATTTCAAGTGTTTTAAAGTTATTTCATATTTTAAATACAGAAGGGCCCTGCTTTATGGCATTCCGCTAATACGGACATTTCAAATTATGACCAAAAAAAACTGTACAGCTCCCCCCACCTGACTTTATAATATGGTCAATGAGCACCACTTGGTTTGTTTACATTCTCCGTGAACACCACGTCTCTCTATTGTCTGGACACTTTCCAAAATTTCAAGTGTTTTAAAGTTATTGCCCATTTTATATGTACTCTGATAATTATACTTAAGTGTACCTGTACCTAAATAAACTTACTGTGCTGGAGTGCAGGTACACATTAAAATCACTAAGAGTATCCCTCTAGTCTTGATGCCATATTAATAATAATAATTACTCTTGGGCACATTAAATGCCTTATTTTATGTTAATACAAACATTTTTGTTAATCCATCTATGACATTTTCTTCAAAATTATACAGCCTCTCCTCACTTACCAATGTACTCGTATACCAACACCTCGGACTTACGACGAGCTCTCTGACCAGTATTTATACCTAAATAATGTATATTTGAGCTGAATTCCTCTATTCTGTTTATTTCATTATACACTACACTACTATATAAACATTTAAAAATATACCAGAAATGGTGTAAAGGTGACATTAAAACAATATCAAAAAAGGTTGACACAAACCCACTACCATTATAGTATGCTCCTCACTTGGCGACGAATTCGTTTAATGTTGTGGTCTTAGGAATAGAACTATGTCATTAAGTGAGGAGAGGCTGTATAAGAAACATATTAATAGCATATAAACATGATACAAACACCCAAAGTAAAATAAATTTCACATAAATATGAGATGTGATAGGCGGGCGGAGGGAAAGAATTATGTTTTCTCTGATCCGCACCAGAGAAAGTGTGTGTCAATGTACATTTACTGCATTTGGCTTTGTTTCCAAATTTTGGCACGAATTCTCATCACTTCTCTGTCGTTTATGCATATAAGGGTAGTTGTTAGAAATTATTACATTCAGTGAACAAGGTATGCTAATGGCAATAATAATATTGCTCTGGGGCACTTTAAATATCATATACACCTACCATCCAACTTACGACCGTGTTTTTTATGCCAAATTTCTGGGAAATAAACAACTATTTGTGTTGTACACAGTGGTTATCCTAAACCTTACAGTATAAAATACAGTACTAACAACATAAAAAGTAAAGCAAAACATGAAATACCAAAATAAAACAATAAAATAAAGTCATTACAAAAATGTTTTGTAGTAAAGGTCGACTTACAACCATTTCGACTTACGACCGGTTTCCTGGAACCGAACTCGGTCGTAAGTCGGATGGTAGGTGTATTATGTTAGGAATGTTAGCCAGTGGGCTTCCTGGCTACCTACACCTGACTTCCTACAAATAAATACTACTCTCCTCTCACCCTGCATTAAGACTACACATATTTTAAGTTAAGTAATGAGTGTACCGTGTGTGTATTTTATCGCTTTGGGCTGCTTTAAATATCGTATATTACATTTGGGAATGGGAACCTGTGGGCTTCCTGGCTACCTACTTACACACTGTGCTGCCGTGCAGGTACAAGTTAAAATCACAGAGTGTTGTACGTGTTAGACTTGAAGACGCCATATTAATAATGATAATAACACAACAGTGATCACTCTGAGGTGCATTAAATGTCATATATAATGTTAATATAGACATTCTGATTAATCCATCTATGATATTTTTCAAAATTATATAAAAAATGCTACATAACATAAACATGATAAATACACCAGACAGTAGAATAAATTAACAAATATGAGATTTTTTCCAGTCTTGTCAGAGTGTTTGAAAGAATAACGTTGTCTCTAGTAATGAGTGTACTGTATGTGCATTTTATCCCTCTGGGGAGTTTTAAATGTCGTAGTATATCACATGTGGGTGGGTTGGCCAGGAGGGCTACCATACCTATCATGCCTGACTTCTTACAATAAATACTACTCGCCTCTCACCCTACATTAAGATTACAAATATTTTTAGGTAATGAATGCACTGTGTATTTTACTTTTTATTGTTTTTTAATGCCTAGCTCTATTGCTAACTTAATATATGTTAGTGTAAACTGGCATTTATATGCATTTATAAGTGGAAAAAAAATGGCGTTCTGCTTATCAGCACTGTCTGCTTTTCAGAGGTAGCCCGGAACCCAACCTGCCATATAAGTGGGCCCCTACTGTATTTAAATACCACATCCTGGATTTAAAGTAAAATAATATGCAAAATTCAATTGATTATTTTGTACATTCCTTACTTTTTTTTTAAAACAATATCCAAATTCTTCCCTCCTCCTCCAAACAAAATTTGAAGAGAAGTGCCCTAATAAGAACAGCGTTAACTTCTGCTTGTGGTGTGTGCACATACCTCATACTGAGGATGCCACCAAGGATACACCTTAACATCACACACAGGCTCCAATATAATCTGAAAGATGGAAGTATTGATATTCAATTAATACACAGCCTAAATGTTAAATATGCATTTGTTTTGTGGTAATAGTAGTAGTTGTAGCAGTGGTAGAGGCAGAAATAATGTAACAGTGGAAAACTAGGGGAAAATAATGGCAAAGAATGTGGTAAAAAAGTAGTAATAGAAGCAGCAGCAGTAGTAGTGTATAAGAAGAAGAAAACAGAGGAACACTGGCCCACAGGCATACGACAAAATCTCAATAGGACAACTCAAGGCAATGAAAATACAGGAAAGAAGAAGAGGTATGGAGATGAGGCAAAGGTCAGGTCACAAGTGTTTTGAGGTTTAGAGCTTTTAACAATGTAGTAAGTAAGGGTGGGCATCAACAAAGCAAGGATTAAGATTCACCTTAGAAATGATGTGTATAAAAGATGCTTCAATAAGATGGTGTTTGTGAAGGCTTGAAGGGTAGACAGTTTTGGCAGAGGACCAGTTAATAGGATGACTGTGATCTGTAACATGAGAGACAAGAGAATTGCTAGTGTCAGCAAGACAAACATTTCTTTTGTGCTCATCAAGTCTGTCAGAGAGAGAGGCCAGTTTCACCAAAGTATTGAAGAGAAGCAGGAAATGGAGTAGACATGAGAAGCATCAGTGGCAAAAGTATGAATGAACAAGAATGCTACTAAGGGTATTAGCTCAAAGGAAAAAATTGACAGCTAAATTTAGGAGTGAGGGTGTCTCTAACATTTAGGAGACTGGAAATGGGGGTAAGGAGTTTGGGAGAGAAGTCCTTTTAGCATGAGAGTAAGAAGAGTATGAAATCAGGTATAGCCAAGGAAAGAGAACAAGGGTGGAAATTTCTGAGTCAGGAAATTAAGTGTTACAGATGTGCAGGGCATGGGGAAAGAGAAACAACACCACCAACACCCCACGGCCTGGCTGGCAATACGGAAGGCCCGGGTTCGATTCCCAGTGGGGTAGAAACATTTCAACATGTTTCCTTACACCTGTTGTCCTGTTCACCTAGCAGCAAGTTGGTACCTGGGTGTTAGTCGACTGGTGTGGGTCGCATCCTGGAAGACAAGATTGAGGACCCCAATGGAAATAAGACAGACAGTCCCTCGATGACGCATTGACTTTCTTGGGTTATCCTGGGTGGCTAACCCTCCAGGGTTGAAAATCTGAAGAAATCTTATATTAACACTTTTATTGACACAGAGAGCATGGTAAGAAAAGTAGTGTACGTACATGCCACTATGCACCTACTTGCAATAAATGGAAAAAGAAAAGCCTATCACATGCACATCAAGGAAATTAGGATAAGAGTTAGATTCCCATTCAACTCTGAATTTGATGGAACGAGCAAAGACACAGCTATAGAAGTAGAACAGTTTCAAAATTCTCTACATAAAGGTTAGCATGAACGGGGATTAGAAGAGAGCCCAAAGATTTGGGAATAAAACTTACCTTGAAAGGAAAAAAAAAAAAGAGTTCAAGTCCGCACAACGGCAAATGAGATTAAGAAAGACATCAATGGATATAGGGAAATGACGTAACCCTTCACTCTGAGAAAACTAAAAACATCAAGAAGGACATTGGCAAAGAGACACTCAATGCTGGAACAAAACATCATTACTTTCCCCTCTTCTAAATGCAGTTATTTGTATATTAATAGATATACAGCATTTCCTCACTTAACGGAGTTCCGTTCATAAGACCATATCGGTAAACGAATTATTCGCTAAGTGAGGAGCATACTATAATGGTAATGGGTTTGAGTCGACCATCTTTGATATTGTTTTAACCCTTTCAGGGTCCAGAGGCCAAATCTCGAAGGGTGCACCAGGGTCCAAGAATTTTTGAAAAAAAAAAAAAAAAAAATTCTTACAGAATTAAAGATAATAATTTTCTGTAGATAAAACAAAAACAAAAAATTTTGATCAGTAGTTACTGAGATATACAGGCATGAAGTTGACCCTCAATGACCTGGTGGTGGCAACATCTGCGACTTCCGTAAAGTCTCATTATTTTATTTTAGGTTTTTGTTATTTTTTTCTTTTTTCTAATATTTTTGTTTTCCAGTAACTTTTGTGGCCTGTGAGACCAATATAATGTATAAATGTACACTCATTGTATTTAACACAATAACTGCACTAATTTATCATTATACTGCTTACAAAACTTTTTTACAAGTTTATCGTAAACAAAATAATGATGAAAATATTAGTGTGGTTGTGTTGAGTACAATGGTACCATATGGTACAATGTACTGTATGGTACAATGGTACCAAATGGTGCAATAATAATAATATCTTTATTTACTACAAGTACAAGTACAAGGTATACAGGCCTAGCTGACATCAATGACATACTATTATATAGAAAGTCACTTGTTATCCAGATCATTTCGAGCAAATTAAGTCAGTGTGCCAGGATGCGACCCACACCAGTCAACTAACTCCCAGGTACCCATTTTACTGATGGGGAACATGGACAACCGGTGTTAAGAAACAGGCCCAATGTTTCTACCCGCGCTGGGAATCGAACGCAGACCCTCGCCGTGTGAAGCGAGAGCTTTAGCTATCAGGCCATGGGGCACCGTGGCCTGATCGATACATTATGGTACTGTTGTATTCAACAATAACCGCGCTAATATTGTCATCATTATTTCATTTACAATAATTGTTTACAACAAAAAATGCAAAAATGTTGTATATTAGTAATGTTCTATTATATATTTTTACATATGTACAGCCACTGGACATGTTACTTGAGGTGGATGATGAAGCGCTTTGTTTTGGAAACTGCTGAGTCAAGGGCCTGGGTTCCCACTCACTCACTCGGTCCTGGCTGGTGCCTCATGGCACCAACACCTCCTACTGGCCATACGGTACAGGGTATCATATGGGATAGAATACCACATGGTACAGAATACCATATGGTACAGGGCACCATATGGTACATGGTACAATATGGTACAGGGTACAATGTGGTACAAATACAGGGATCCCTATGGAAATAAGTCACCCTGACTTTTTTGGGTTATCCTAGGATTTTATACATATGCTACTATGCATGATAATCTACGTAACTGTATTTGTGTATACCTGAATAAACTTACGTCACATGTGCTTGAGTAAGTTTATTCAGGTGTACACAAATAGTTACATAGATTATCATACATAGCAGTATATGTTTGGAGACCTAGGATAACCAAAAAAAAAATCAGACAGATGTATTCCCATTAGGGTTCCTGTACCCTGTACCATATGGTTCAGAACCATAGAATTTCTCTTCAGATCCACTTCCATCAGTCTTAGAACTGTAAGCTGGGAAAAGGAAAGTCAGAATTCACCTGGGAATTGAGTGCTTCCTTGCTGCCAGGCATGGTGAACAAAGCCACTTTGGCGGCATTCCCACAATGCCATGCAGGTGTCCAGATTTTTTCTATAGTGCACACACTGACCACCCAGTGTGTGCACTATAGATGTAGGCCTACAAGCCTTCTCAAGCTAAACTTGAGGCCACTAGAATTTTGGCGTAGTTCTACGGTTTGGACCCACAACTCAAAGCCATAAAACTACGCACGGACCCTGAAAGGGTTAATGTCCCCTTTGCATCATTTATAACATTTTTGATATATTTTTAAATGTTATATAGTAGTGTAGTGTAATAAACAGAATAGAGGAAATCAACTCTAATATACATTATTTAGGTATGCATACTTGTCAGAGAGCTCATTGTAAGCCCGAGTCATCAGTAAAAGAGTACGTTGCTAAGTAAGGAGAGGCTGTACTGTATTTAAATAAATTACAAGTAACATAGTACTGTATACAATTTTTTCATTTTGCTTTAAAATTTAGCAGCAAACCTAATTTAACCCTTAAACGGTCCAAACATATATATACGTTCTCTCGTGTAGTGCCCCAAACGTATATATATGTTTCATTTGTCATTCATTCAACATTGGCACGATAGGCCTGAGTCGCCTAGACATGAGAGAATGGGTGTACGCACTCAGTGTGCGCCATATGAAAAAAATTGGGGATGCCTGGGTACTACATGCTTTTTTTTTCCTATAAAAAAAAAAGATTTTTTTTTTCTCAAAATATTCGGGGGCGCTGGGCATGTGAACGCATACATACGTTTGGACTGTTTAAGGGTTAACTAAAATTAACATTATAAAACCTAACTCTATCCACAATCTCAACTTTCAATATACAGTGGAACCTTGACTTACAAGTTTAATCCATTCCGTGACCTAGCTCGTAACTCAATTTGCTCATACATCAAATCAATTTTCCTCATTTAAATTAATTGAAAAGCCATTAATCTGTTCCTGCAGTCTGGAGACAAGACAAAATACTTGAATATGATGCTAATACCAACTGTACGGCTTATTTATCTATCACAATTCATCTAATATGACATAATAAACAATATAATTAACACAGAAACATACTCTAAAATGAATAAAATAGGCCATAATATGGTGGCAGAGGCAGCGGTGGAAACGTCCACCATTTCCTATCCCACTTTGACTATAGTATCTTCCCATGCTCTTATTGTAAGAGAAAACAGAGTATTTGTGAGGCTAATTGCAGTAGATCACTAGTTTTCTAAGGAAAACATTGAAACAATATATTTATAAATAAGAAACTCTTGGTCTCAGGAATCAAATTCTTTGGTCTCCTTCCTTAGATCAATTCTAAGTAACCCCCAATCCTCCCTTCCCTATCCCTTCCTCCCCATACCCCGCTTTTTTTTCCCTTCCCTCTCCTCTCCCAACCCTCCCCTTTTTCCCTGTACCGTTTGTAGCCTCTGGGGTCCTCCCCTCTGGCATTATGGTTTCTAGGTGGGGGTGGCATGCTAGGGTTTGTCCCCCTCCATGCGGTCCCTCGGGGTGGTGTGGTTTGCCGTGCAATCTGAATTGTCTAAGGATGCCCTGCTCCCTTCCCGGATTTCTGGGTCGTGGGCAGGGTGCCCTTCGGATGATGGGTGTATCTCTGGAA